CGCGAATTCCTGGAGGCAATGCACTCAGACGAGGCATGCATAAACAGGCATACCAATTTGGATATTAATTACAAATCCCTCAAAACCAGATGGAAGCAAAAACAACGATCACGGACGACAGGATTCAATGCGGGTGACAATTATTCGCCTTACCTCCCCCCTCCCCTCCTCTCCCGCTGACCGCATAATTGCATTCGGTTGACAAGTACTCCTCCCCCTCGGCCGCATAATTAAATGCGACCAACGATTATTTGTTAACATATTTAACCGCCTTTAGAATCTTCTGTTAGTCATCGTGTTGAGTTAGCGGTTTTTGAATAACTCTCATGCTATCTGAAGACGATCTGGGGAACCAGAGTCGAAAATTCACACATTAAAGCACTCCTTTCCCAAAGAACTTCTTTTACCAAATTATACTTCTTGGGATGCAGATTTTCCAAGCAATATTGGTGGTTTCTTTGCAAAGATTAAACACTCAGATGCGGGTAGAAAGTAAATCACTCCTACTCTCCCCCGAATGCACCCATTGGTAATGGATGCATTCGTGGCTAACCTTGCTAGGTAGTCGATGACGTAGTTACTGCAACCTGTAAATTCTACAGTCTTTGGTAATCTACTGCCCCTACCTCGTGCTGTATCTAGTTGTGGACTAGCTTAAGAATCCTTTTCGTCAGGCGTGTGATTAGGAACAAAAACTATGCAACAGGCCATTTTGCGCCTTCCAAAGCGGCTCCTTGAAATTCACTTTTTCGCCATTATCAGTCGATGATCTAGTACATATTGCAGTAGTTTTAACCCAACATATCTTATGCTACCTTAGTTCCGATAAATAGGGACTAATTGGTTTCGCAGCCAGATGCATACTGTACGCACACCCCCGGATACCCTATATAGGAATGGGACCAATCAGATTGTGTCCTCATGCGCCTAGCGACCCAATTGGCCATCTGGCCACCTCGTGTGACTTTGACTCCAAGGCCCGCTCGGACGCGCGCAGCCTTTGTGTGTGGAGGTACCAATAACGTGGCCTAAGAGCTCGCCAGGGCAGCTTGTTAAGGAATGTCCTAACAGCAAAGACAATTAGTCTGAGTGTGTAATAAGACGACGCCGCATTGACCCTCACACGATAGCAGTCTCGGTCTGCCTCTGAGACAGCTAATTGCAGCTACCGTAAGCTCCGCGCGAATGCTTGCCTGGGACGGTGGCCACTAACAACAACTAAGCAACTATGTCGGAGAAATTGGC